TAAAGAGAGAGACCAGCTCCAGACAAGATTTGACGACATGACCAAAAATAGAGACAATCTTCAGAGAAAACTTCAAGGTAATTATTTGTTTCCATTTTATCTCGTACAGAAATGTTTGCCTCTACATTTGAAGTTAACACTCAAGTACATGACGGTGTTGTTGTTGTTTTTTTCTCATTTAATGCATTATTGAATCACAGCATTAACGATACTGGGTAAGACTTGAAAAGTGAAATTCAGTGTCCCTTCCACCATATTAACATCTGGACAGTTCCATACTATTAAAAAAGAAAGCCTCAGTAAAACCTAGAATTAAATGTAAATTAAGCTTAATGTGAATATATGAATATTTCATACGTTCTAAGTCTATTTAGATATAGTTCATACTGGCGCTTTAATCCATGTAGACAAGAAAAAAAGATTCTCTTTTATTTTTATCTTCAACTTCAACCAGTATGTCTCAGCTGTTTTTTTATTTCCATATTTAGTTGTGAAAGACACCTAACCAATGACAGAAATTTTAATACTGCAGTTTCAGTTCACAGTGTGTGTTATGTTAGAAATTACTAAAGCACCATGAAGCCTTCTAACTGAGAAGTGGACTTTGGACAAAACCTCGAGTTTCTCCTTATTTTCAGTGGTCAGTAACAGTTGCTGACTCAAGCAAAATCCTTAGATAAAATATATATTTCCCACACACTCCTTCTGAATGCACAAAAATGATGCATTTCTTCTCATGTTCTTTTAAAACACAAAACCAAAATAAAACTTTTTTATTTGATGTAAAACTAGACATATTGTGCAACAATGGGACAGTGTTTTTTTTCTTTCATATGTTAAAGCTTTGTGAATTTGTACAACTGACACTTGTGTAACAAATATGTGATGCTAATTATGAGATATTAGCCTTAAAGATAAGATCCTAACAAAGCCCAAAGTATTATTCTGTTTTTCTTAAACAGATTGCCGAGAAAACTGGGTGGCCTTAAGTGATAGTTTGTACCAAGTGTCTTCGGAGAAGAAATCCTGGGAAGAAAGCAGACAAGACTGTCTTCAAAAAGGTGCACACCTGATGATTATCAACAGCCGAGAGGAACAGGTGTGCATGTGCAAACATAAATTAATGTACTATGTTCTATGAACATACCATACGTACTATGAATAAAACACTGAATGAAATCAGAGAATGCACTGACACATCACTTTAAGTTCTGTATATTTACACTTACTTGTCTTTCAACTAGAATTTTGTGAACCAGTTCAAGAAGTATTTGTGGATTGGACTCACTGACTCAGAGACAGACGGAATATGGAAATGGGTGGATGGGACTCGCATGACCACAAGGTTGAAATAAAAATTTAATTCCTCTCTTGTCCATAAAGTCTTCTTATATCAACAAGTACAATAACAAACTTAATTAAATTCATATCTTGTTACTAAAAACAAAAGACTGACTGATCTGTTGAGTTTAACTTTTATAATTTTATCTGTATTTCAGCTACTGGAATCGTGGTGAACCAAATGGTGGCAGAACGGAAAACTGTGGAGAAATAAGATTTTACGACTCAGAAAACAGCTGGAATGATGCACCATGTTCCATTGAAAAATTCTGGATATGTGAGAAGAGAGTTTCTCCATAACTTAACATCCATGCCCAACAAATAGTGCAGAAAACAGAACCATGAGATCAACTCCTGAAATGAAGCTGAACAGAAAACAGTGGCCACTTAGGCTACGTCCACACATACACGGGTATTTTTGAAAACACAGCTTTTTCTATCCGTTTGGGCCTTTTGTCCACTGAAAACTGAGAGTTTTAAAAACTCCTGGCAGGGTGGAGATTTTCGAAAAACTCAGCTTTTGCGTTTACATGTGGATGAGCAAAATGGAGATCTAGCCACGCAACGTCAAAGGTGTGCGCCTTTTTTAACGTCAGATCTGCCGTTTTTACACGCTTACATATACACACGCAGTTGCTGCCCCTCCACTTGGAAAGACAGAGGCGTCAGAGTGAACTTTGGACGTGGCTTTTACACTCTCACAACCTAAGTGTAATATTAAGGAATAATTCCACCTCACTGTCTGTCCACACATAGGACTCATTTCTACTTCTATGCGCCATCTTTGTTTACGCTTTCCCTCTCAGGCGTCTAGACTTCTGATTGGCCAACATTTCGACACAGCATTATATCATAGAGATATTTTACAAAAATGCACGTGTGGAAGATGATTTTTTTTTTTTTAAACGAAAACGGAAAATCTCCACTTACAAAAATACCCATGTATGTGTGGACATAGTCTTAGATGGAAACAAGTTTAAAGGGTTTTTGCTTTGCTTTCTAAATCAAGAATGTCTTTTGTCACTATATCCAGGATCTTTAATCAGCCAGCGATCTGCTTTGGTGTGACTAGTCATGACAATTTTAAGACGTGTTAGATTAAAAAACTTGCTCAACAATACCATGCTCAAAAATCCTCATCTTATAGAAAAATATTCTGTTATCATAAACTTTCCATCTGTATTTACAATTTAATCATTAAAATGTTGACAATTTGGACTTGTTTTACTCCACCTGACTCATTTATTGAGGAAAGACTGAAGATTTGGGAAAAAATCCTCTCAGTGTGCTGTGCAAAAATGCAAAACCCAACCCAAGTTTTCGCTCTCATGTATTCATTTCTAATATTGTTCATCCTAGTCCTAATAAATAAAGCAGACATGATATCTCATTTAATGCAGTGGTCAAAATAGAGTATTAAACATCCCAGGAAAGGCCTTTGATAAAAAAAAAAAAAAAAAAACAAAAGTCCCAGTTCATGCTATTAAAGAAGAAAATTTCAGGAAAACCTCAGAATTACATGTAAACTGAGAATAATGTGAGTGAAAATATTAATTTCCCATACATGAGTTAAAACTGAAGTAGATCTGAACATCTCATCTGTTCTGTATTTCCATGTTTAGCTGGAAAACACAAAACTGAGTTCAGGAATGTTAATAAAGAGGGAAGTGGACCTTCGAGAAAAGCTCACTTCTCTCTAACTTGACCTCCAGCTTTTTCTGAATTTTCAAAACCTGTGGTTTTCAGCCACAGCGGCTATTGTACTGGATTCTTCTGTGACCTCCTGGATAGGGTTCTCTATTTGTGGGAAATGTCTCTCACCGCAGTTTGAGGGTGTCCCGAAGCCTTTGAAATTGCTTTGTAGCCCTTTTCCAGACTGACAGGGATCAATGACTTTGTTTCTCATCTGTTCTTGAGTTTCTTTAGATTGTGGCATGACACAGTTCATACTAGTACTTTAACCTGAATAGACAAGAAACAACCTTTTGAGGTTTAACTGACTTCTCAGCTACAACTGAGATAATTCATGATGTCTCAGCTTTTCTTTAATTCTATATTTAGGATAAATGCGGAAATGTTAATACAGCAGTTTCAGTTCACGGTGGGTTATGCTAGAAATGACTGATCCTTCCAAGTAATAAGTGGACAAAAGTTCACAAAAGTTATTGTAATGCAAGCTCAATTTAATTATTCGGTAAACTGCAGTTTTGTGGGGCAATCATTGTAACCAGTTTGACCGAGAAATGCAGCTCAGATTTTGGGAAGTACCCCTCATATTTCTTTAAAACTAGAAAGAGGTCATTAAACAGCAAATGTAGCGAAACTAAAGCATGATTAAAAAACTGCAAAGCTAATAAAATGTGTTGCACTCAGAGGCAGCTGTCCCAGTGAGTGGTGAGTTCATTGCACTTTTGCACCAAGAGAAAATGTCTCTCCTGTTTGTTTATTTATTTAACTCAACAATATGTCAGATATTTTTCCACTTTTACAATTGTGGCTTTACCTGAAAGCTTTTTCAGTGGGAGTGGGATAGCAAAGTGGCTTTAGCCAAATTTGCCATCCACCCTTGGCAAATTTGCACCCTGCCCATTGTGATATAACCCTTTAAAGTTCACCCAAAAAGCATTTGTTCAACTTTTCTCCTTTGAGTACTGAGAAAGAAGATGACCATCCAGTGAACTAATACTTGCTCCTGTTATGCATCACAGTTATTAAAGCAGTGGAATCTGATATTGAAACTACGATATCTGCTCATGATGTTTGCCAGGAAGAAAAAATGCATGATTTTAGATTCAAAACCTGAGACTTATCGTTTTGGTTTATTATTATTAATTTACATAAAAAAATAATTAAATGTGTTCTTTTTCTGCCTTAAAAAGTGTGGGGGAGTTAAAAAATGAAAAATGCTGGATAGTTTTTGTTTCTTACAGTATGAAGGTTAAAACTGTCGTACAAACAACAAACAAATCCTCTGATTTTGAAAAGGTCCAGTGGCAACCTCAAATTTGACTAATTTTACAGGGAGCGGCACAATGCTGTTCAGGTAACTTGCCTAAAAACTTTAATTTGTCACAATTTAGCTTTTGAACCAATGAATAAGTGTAAAATAGAAAGGTATACTAAGAGCATGTTCACATGGTTGTCTCCTAGTTTTTCATGACAGTGACAGTAAATATCTACTGTACCACTTTATTTTTTATAAAGCCTTACTCTACTCTCAGATTTATTAGTTTTATATTCTACTGTCTAAAGCAAAAGAACATTTACTGTTACAATAACAGTAAATGTATGTAGAGATAAATGTGTTTAAATTTTTTTGGAATTTGGATATTTTTGACAAATATTGATTCTACCTCCAAATTCAAAATTTGTAAAGAATCAATTAATTCTTTTTTAAAAGCTTTCTGGGTTGTGTTGGGTTCTGCTCAGAGGAATGCAGCTTTCTCCAAAAGGTTTGAGCTGCACTTTATTAAAAGTGCTTATATTTGAGCTGCTCGTTTGTTAGAATAGCAATCAGTTTTAATTCCTAATTCATTTTGTTGTTTTTCAATTGTAATGGTATTCATCATTGAACAAGAAAAAAATAATCCACCCTGTCTAAACGAAAGTGTCAAAACCTGGGTGTTAAAGAAGTGATGTAATGAGTCGCCATCTTGTGGTGGGTTTGATTTGTGATTAGACGTTTAATGTCAGGAAGATGGGTGCATGATCACTATGAGCAGATTGTTGCCTTTAGTTACTTGCTGTGAGATAAAATTACTGAGGAAAAGTTCTGAAGGAAAGAGGAGAAGTAAGTGTCTTCTCTGGAAGAGGAATTTCTCACCTTATCCATAATTAATGTTTTTATTTATTATGTTTGCAAATATTATGTCTCCAGATTCTTGAACTACTGAATGAGTTTGAATGGTGAGCTAACGATAATTAGAGTCTCTAACTCTAGTCTAACTCTAAACTCTGCTGAATGGCACTGTGAT